CATTACAATAGACTACAAAAGGGATTATTGTTTTCTCTAGGGCGCTCCAAATGACAATATTGTCATCTATATATCGACCATAGAATACTAAATGTTTTACCAAGGGATCATTGAACCTGATGCAATGTTTTTCCAATAACCTGTAAACAAATTGGTGTAACTGGGTGCAAAATGTGTGCACATAGCAGTGATATTGTATTCTCTAGGCCATCCCAGATAACAATAATGTAATCTATATATCAACCGTTTCACAAAGGGATTATTGGACCAGATGTATTGTTACTCCCAAAATTCCATAAATAAATTGGTAAAACTGGGCACAATATTTGTGGTCATAGCTGTGCCCATGTTCTGTAAATAAAAGGTATCCAGAAATTCAAAATAATTATGTTCCAAAGCTTAAAGTGGTTGTAAATCCTTACATATACTCTGTGAAGTGACTGGTGTCAGGTGATACACAGAGATGAAACAAATCCTCCTACATAAGGTTTACCTGTTTATCTTCAGTTGTCTCTTCTCTACAGACATTCACAGTCCAGAATTTATACAGCTCGTCTGAGCTTCCAGAAAGCAGGGGGATCTGTAGCTACACTCTGTAGAGCTCAGTGAGAACTGACTGGATGAAAGGGACACCCCCCACCCTTCACACAGCACACAGGAACATAGCTGAGGCTGCCAACCACTGGCTGTGTGCTGGAGCTCTCCCCCCTGTTACCTTTTTTCTTTTGGTTTTATGAAAACTTGCCAAAAGTGACTTATACAAATAGCAGACAGAGGTTACACTTAGTGCTCTCTATTGAGACAAGTACACACTATAGATAGATATGCTTTGTTCATATTTCATGTCAGAGATTTATAACCACTTTAGTGAAGAAATTGAGATCAGTGCTACCTTATACATTTTTTACTTTTTTTTCCAGGAGAAATTTTGAAACATTATGTAAAAAAAGGTCTGCATTCTCTATAGAAATGTAAGCTACATATTTAATTGTTTATTTGTTTATTTATTTAACTTTTTCCTTTGTTCCATCATTATTCTGGTTATTTTTTCCAGTAGTATAATATTCTTATGTAAAAGAGTACATGTTAAATATTATTTCCTGCCTCTTTTGTACTTGCACACTTTATAAACTTGGTTACGATATTTGGTATAATACTGAGCGACTCCATTATTAGGAAGCCTTCTTTGGAGTGCTGCCAGGCTTGAGAAAGGGGGGCACATCCATGAAGCTCATGATTACCTGTCACTGCCTATCAAGCAGGTGAGTTACTACATGCCAGCAGCTGCCTCTTTCGGCTGTCAGACTCAAGTTCCATTGCAGTGATTTCCAGGACAGGGAGTGTGTTATCAGTTCCTCACCCTGTCAGCCCCCTGGGGTGGTTAGAGAAGGATGACTCATTATATTCACACTACACCTTTGGTTTGCTTTCAGTGTTAGGTTCCCCTTTCCATTCAGACTGTTGCAAAGGCATACTTCTTTATTGACACGAGTGCATTTTTGTATCTGTTTTGTGTCTCATTTAATAAACTGTTTTATTGTGCATAATTGTTATTCTCTCCTCTTTCTTTTTTCATCTTACAAGTTATATACATTACCTTGGGTATGTATCTTGTGGGAAAGCTGCATTTGTAATCTATGCACACATCAGCTTTTTGGCTTTATTTATGTACTGAAGTTTGTTTTTATGGTACTTTTATGTTCCTTTGTTACTTTTTTCCTATGTGGCGTTTCCATCCACTGCTTGGTTGTCTAATAAAGTTTCAATCGAATTGATTTCTGTATGCTAACTATAATACATGATGGTGATTGAAAAGAGACTAAGTATAATGATTGAAAGAATAACTTTCAAATCCACAGAAGTTTTTAATTAATTATTTACAAATTCTACTATTATCTATATGCCTTCTAATAAAGATGAGAGTATAATAAATAATGGTGATAATACTCAGAATAGTGAACAAAATGTTGGAGCCTCCAATAGTGCATCAATAATAATATAATTAAAATAGTGAAGCTAGAGTTTTTTTAAAATATGAAAAAATTAGAGGATTCACTAATTACGAGGTGACACAATGGTGGGACTTTATCTTCCTAAAGAAATATTTATCAGAGGGTTTGCCTGGAAATTTTATGCATGTGTAACACCCTGCTATAATGCAAGTTGCAGAATGTTAAGAGAAACACAAGATGGCAGTGTCCTGCAACTCTGTGGCACTCACGCTCTGTAGAACAGCCCCAAGGACCTTGCTGGGCAGCAGTGTATCTGAAGACTGCATTTCCCAGACGAGCTGGCGTGTGGTGGTGGTGGTGGGTGGGGGGGGGGGGCATTTTTATACAGAAGCCTGGGAGACAGGCTGGGAAGAGAGAGGGGAGAGAGCTGGAGAACAGAAATGAAGAGAGAGAGTTTGCTGATTGCTGGAGTAGCAGACCAGACATCAGAGCTAAAGAGGAGAGAGGTAAGGAGGAGTCAATGACCGCCAGCCTTGCCACCCTGTTCAGCGAGACATTTTGTCAGCAGGTGACCTGGAGTACAGTGCCTATATGGAATGCTGCAAGTGGGACTAGAAAACCTGTAAGGTCCCACATCTACAGAGAGTGAGCGACCGCTGGGACCTGAGTGATGCCACAGATTGGGTGATAGAGTCCCATACATCAGCCAAACACGTGAACACTAACATTCCTTTCGAATCTGCCACTTTCCTGCACACAGTTGCAGACATTGCATATAATTAACACGTGTTGTGGCCTAGTTCCCCCTATACTATTGAACACATTAGCAGCATAGTTCAGTCATCAAAACTGAATGCGGTGTATGCCTTCTGCATGCCAGACCACATAATTTTCCCTTAACCATTGGTCTACCCTCTTAAAGAAACATCTACCACGATTGCTATTAGTTACTGCAGTCCAAGAGGAGTTGCCCTTTGCCACTAAGTGCTTTTACCAACTTCTGACACCTTTTTGCCTAGAATTTGCATTCTGCTTAGTGCATTAAAGGGACACCACCCAAGTCAAGTGCTCTTTTCTATCTCAGATTTAAACCTTGCCATCAGATCCTGAGGACCCAAGATGAGCTATTTCAACCTCTGATAGTTTTCTTGCTCGCTAGGTATTAGAAACACCTCAGGTTTGAGGTTATGGGTTAACTTCTGGTTCAAACCCCTTGCCCAGATGAAGTTCACGATCTCAGTGACAACTTTCATTACATTGTCAAATCCTTGGGATTTTGTACATAGGTTTTCTTGATGAATAATGCAGTGGTAAGAGATGATAGTTGTAGTATTTGATTCTTCTCTTAAAAGTTCCACAAATCCTGAATTCTTGCCAATCATACTCAGGGCTCCATCTGTCACCACTCCTACAAGATCTTGGATACTCAGCTGGTATTTTTTTGTGGGGGGTAACTTTTTGCATTGAAAATATCGACTCCCTTTGTAGTCCCTTTCAGTGCTAAAAATTCTTCCAGCACTTCTAACTTGTCGTCTATTCCACAAATGAAAATAGCTAGCTGAACAGTGTCTGTTAAGTCAGAGCTTTCATCCAGTGCTAAAGAAAAACATAAGAAACCTTTCAGTATTTTCATCAAAGTTTCTTCTACATTTTCACCTAATTCCTTTACTCTTCACGTGATAGGCTTTGAAGGTATCAATCTTCTTAGGGCACACCAATTCCACAGCTGCTAAAACGTACTCTTTGGCAAATTCTCCATCTGAAAAAGTATTTTGTACAATAATTTCTGCAATCACAAAACTCGCTTTTACTACGGTGTTGGCATCATCTGACACTCTCTTAAATACAGACTGCTGTGATTTAAATGACTTCTTCAGTAAGTTTATCTTGTATGTTCGCAATTGGCCCTGAAGAGATTTGAAATTCTTTGCATGCTTTGTTTCATAATGTCTTCTCAATTATATTCCTTCACAATCGCAACAGTTTCCTTGCATATTAGACAGGGAGGTTAGGAATCATTTTCCACAAAGTAGTATAGTTCTGTAAATGTATCACTGAAATTCCAAGACACTTCACCATGACTCCATTTCTTAGTTGTTTCGGATACATTCAGTTAAAAAAATTATGAAGACAAATTTATTGTGAAAAACACAAACATTATGTAGAGGTATGGAAGATTATTGCCAATTGTTCTTATTTAGATTTTTGCCACAAAAAATGCACCCATTTTGATAATTATCAAAATAGGTGCATTTTTTGTGGCAAAAATCTAAATAAGAACAATTTAAGAGAAGCAAAAAATGTATTGTATGTATCATGTATTGTAATCAATTAGTGACCCTCATAAATCACAGATAATCAACAGTAGGTCCCCTATCTCTCTTAATAATGCTAAAACCTACACAAAAGGAAAAATATGATCCAGTAATAGAGAGCTAGGAACTTTAAAAAAAAAAAAAAAAAAAAAAAAGGCACAAAAAGGAAACAAGGAGTTGCCAAAGTATCTTTATATAACCATGGAACATGTACCCCAGTTAACCACTTCAAGTCCAGACACTTTTACCCCCTTCCTGTCCAGGCCAATTTTCAGCTTTCAGCGCTGTCACACTTTGAATGACAATTGCGCGCTCATGCAACACTGTACCCATATGAATTTAGCATTTTATTGAGACAGATACAACTTTATTTTGGTGGTATTTATTCACCACTGGCATTTTAATTTTTTTGGCTATATAAATGAAAAAGTCCAAAAATTGTGAATAAAAGTGTTTTTCTTATAACATTTTCCAAATAAATGATCTTTCTTCATAAATCTTGGGCAAAATGTATTCAGCTATCTTTTTAGTGAAAAAAAAAAAAAAAAACACAAATTAGTTCATAACCAAAAATTATAATTTTTCAAAATGTTTTTCATTTTTATTTTTTTAAATATTATTAATGGAGTTTTTTTGAACATACTGTCACCCTAGCAGTACAGTGTCACCATAGTGGCACTGTACTACTTGTGGGGGGTGATGAAGAGTTTTTTTCTTTTTTTACAATGATTACTTTTACACCCATAAAGGCTGTAAAAGCAATAATTTCTCCTTCTCTCTGACTGCATTCTTGCAGCCATTGAGAAATACTGTGAGAGCTGTGATTGGTCACAGCTTGTCACATGGTACAAAGCTGTTCATTCACAGATTTCACAAGTAGTAAGCAATGATGTCAGACGTGACATCTTGCTTACTACTATTCATGTGATCACTGATTGGTCAATCAGTGATCACATGATCGGGACCTCACACAGAGGTCCCAAACAGCGATCGGTGTTCCCAGGGAGCGCGCACAGGTTGAAAATGTGGGTGCTGTTTATGAATGGCAACCCGCTCCTGCACTGCTCCCTTCCGGCCATTTATATACATGAGCCAGACGGGAAGTGGTTAACAATATCATACAAAATAAATACAGGATGACAAGAGATAATATCAAGAGCTCAAAGGCTATGACTGAAGGATTTAATAAGCCCCCTTACCCATACAATAGGGTAACATACCCGTACAGTACAATATTCCTATCTCAAATTTGTTTCAATTACTGCAAAATAGGTAGCAGATGGTTTACTCAAACCCATGATCTAGGCAGTATTAAAGGTGCTGGGTTACAATCTTTGTATATTACTTTTTTTTATAGGGGTAACCCTTCCCCCATAGAAAAAAAAGAAGACACAGAGGAATCAAATGATGGAAGGGCAAACAAAACAAATAAAAAAAAATAACAGAAAGGTAATCTACAATAAAACTTTTTAAGGTATCTACAGATATCCAAATATCCAGCCTAACATCTTCCTACAGAAGTTCACTAGGAACCTAACTGTCAAAAGATAGAATTCAGGATGAAAAATACATGCACACTAGTAAAAAGAGTGATTTAGTATCCCTAAACACTTTAAACCTTGTGCTTGATAACACTGATAATATGTTAGAACCTCTTAATACCCTCCTGGAAGAGGACCATCCACGAGATAATGTAACCAATATTTCATATACTGTATTTATACTGATATTTTCCAAAATCTATTTTTTTATTCCCAGCATGCTAAGAGTGAAATCATAAAGACCTATTATGTTTTGGTTTATAAAGATTTTATTGATTTATGCAAAAGACCAAATAACAGGCAGTACATCTATCATATTCCCAAAATACATGAAGGCTCTGAATGTCCATGTCAAACATGCTAAAAGTTTTCACCAACAGCATATCAATCCTGTACAACAGCTGCTAAATTCTCTTCTCTGCTGCCCTGGATTACTACTCCTGGAGATGAGATCTGTTCTCAGGATCTGATTCATCTGTAGGATCCAAGAGACAGCGCCGCCAATTTTGCTGGACAGCTTGGTCTGCTAACAGAAGTTGAAAAATAAATAAACTTACTGCCAGGTGAAGATAAAAGAAAAAAAGACTAAAAAAGAAAACTAATACAGCTGCCTCATTTAAGGATTGACATTGCATCTGGGGGAGAGGAGCAAGGAGGATTGTGGATATGTTGATATTGTCACATTCCCTTCCCATTTGAAGTTTTTCAAAGCGATATATGCCGACCATGAGAATGGGAGGTATGGAAATTTGGTGAGTGCACACCCAGAAGGGGGAACGTTTTTTCTTGAACACGTGGTGATTTCGTTTTCGGGAAGTAAATAGAAGACTATCACGTTGGAATTAATTTATGGACTTTAATTATATCAGTGTTTTATGAAGTTTATAACTTGTCACTTTAAAGACTGATTCTTGTTCACAGCGCCACTGAATCACTTTAGGGTTCATTTATTGTGTATATGATTATTTATTTTCAGGTGGTAGCAGTGTTTAATTTGGATACATTTTAACTTATTCACATACTTATGTTGTTGTTTTTTGTGCATTTAGAGCATTGGTTTTTCTCACATATAATTTACTAAGTTTATGATGTTAGTTTATAAATAATTATACCTCAATATGCTCACCCTATTGCCAAAAACCAATATACTACACTAAATAAACTATACACAAAAATAATAAATAAATCAATACAAATCAAATAGATAAAATAAATGCAGTGTCCAAAATTCCAAAGTGATATATTTGTGCCCAAAAAATAAATAAAGTCACACTCTAAAATTGTAAATTCAAGTCCTCACTGCAGAAACCTTCCAAAAGACTCCAAACTTCAAAAAGTGATCCTCCAAAAAAAGAAAACTAAAATAGTGTATTATCCTTATATCAATAGTGTACAATAATATTCAACATATGTGTCACTTCACACCATATGTGACCATATACGTGACCCGTGAGCTCAACGTGAGAAAATGTGCTAGTGAAACACTCTGGTGATCCAAAAAAATCAAAGTGTTGGTAATAGTGAACATTTCTATAGTGTACAGACTGAATACCCTTACCAGACGGTAAAGAAAACCACACTTTAATACCACTAAGGGTATACACCATCCAAGGAAAGCTATCCCACGCTGGATCGATATTCTTTAACCACTTGCCTACCAGGCACTTATACCCCCTTCCTTACCAGGCCAATTTTCAGCTTTCAGCGCTGCCGCACTTTGATTGACAATTGCGCGGTCATGCAACATTGTACCCATATGAAATTTTGATCATTTTTTTCTCACAAATAGAGCTTTCTTTTGGTGGTATTTAATCGCCACTGGGCGCTTTACTTTTTGCGCTATAAATTAAAAAAAGTGCAAAAAATGTGAAAAAAAAAAAAAAAGTTTATTTGTTTCTTTTATAAAATTTTTCAAACAGGTATTTTTTCTCCTTCACTGATTTGCGTTGATGAGGCGGCACTGATGGGCACTGATAGGCGGCACTGATGGGCACTGATAGGCAGCACTAAAGGGCACTGATAGGCAGTACTAATGAGGTGGCACGGATAGGCGGCACTGATAGACAGCACTAATTAGGGGTCACGGATAGGCGGCACTGATATGCAGCACTGATAGGCGGCACTGATAGGTGACACTGATGATGGGTACTGATAGACGGCACTGACTGGCATCACTTCTGGGCACTGACTGGCGGCACTGACTGGCACAACCCCTGGGCACTGACTGGTGGCACTGACTGGCAGCACTGCTGGGCTGCACTGGTGGGTGGCACTGGTGGGCAGCACTGGTGGGTGGGCACAGGTGGGTGGCACTGGTGGGCACAGGTGGGTGGGCACAGGTGGGTGGCACTGCTGGGCACATGTAGGTGGCACTTCTGGGCACAGGTAGGTGGCACTGCAGAGTGGCACAGGTGGGTGCACTGCTGGGCACAGGTGGGGGCACTGCTGGGCACAGATGGGGGCACTGCTGGGAACGGGTGGGCGGGGCTAGTGGGCGCACTGCTGGGCGGAACTTGCGGGTGTCACTGCTGGGCACCGATCATCAGGGCACTAATCATCAGTGCCCTGATGATCGGTGCCGATCCCCGCTCTGACAACTGCCGGTTCTCGGCAGTACTTTCCTCACGATCTGACAGCGTGAGGAAAGTGCAGCCGAGAACCGGCACTTGCATTTCCCTGTGATCAGCGTGTCATTGGACACCGCTGATCACGTGGTAAAAGGCCGGTGGGATCGGCCTTTCACCACATCACGTGATCAGCTGTGTCCGTAGGACACAGCGATCACGGAGATCGCCGGGTGCGCGCCCCCTGGGGCGCGCAGGAGAGCGCGTTCTGGGAGGACGTCATATGACGTCCACTCAGAACTGGCCGGCCGCGGTGAAGCCGTCATTCGGCTATGCGCGGTCGGCAAGAGGTTAAGATGTCCTTATAGCCTTATGGATAATGCCCCTAGCTGTCATCAGGACCTTGAGCAGGTATGGGGTCAAGATGTATAAGACCTTCGTCCAAGACACCAAATTCTCCTTGTACATGCTCTCAGCATCCAACAAGTTGAGGTCATTGTGGTCCTCTGAAGAATAAGTTCAGATAAAGTAGACAATTACGTTCTTCCCTTACTGCATGTAGGGGAGAACATTTTCCACCTTGGCTCCAACAGAGAGGAGGTTGACTGTTGGAGCCAAGGTGGAAAATTTTCAGTCTGTATCAGGTGAACTTTTGAACAAGAGGAGGGGCAGAGAAGAAAGGATCAAACAGCCTTTTTACACATTGCAGAGGATTAACCCCTTAGGTCCCACAGTGAGTATAACAAGCATGCTTTACTGCATATGCAGACTGATTTTACTGTTGTTGTTTTAGTAACACTTTAAATGGACTAATAGCAGCATATTTTTAATCAGGGATAACAAAATGTACTAAAACACAGAGTACAGACAGGTACTCACAGGTATTCACTAAGTTTTCTACCAAAAAAATTAAAAGACCAAATGATACAGCAGTATAAAATTGGCCACAGCAGGATAAATTTAATGAGCAAGGCTAGGCCCACATTAACTAGAGACAAATAGCACAGGCAGAGGTTTAAGCTACAAGATTTAGGACTCTTTTGGGCATATGTCAGTGTAAATATTTACAGTTTTATTCAGGGATAATTATCTCAAGTCAACCACAAATTAAAATAGATACACAAAAGCCCTTAATAATAGGAGCAACAAAAAAATCAGCTGGGGTTGATTATTCAAATAATTAACAATCAGAATGACAGTACAGTTCAATAATTTACCCTAATATCTCCTATGCAGTTTGTCACCCTCCCCTATTCTTTCCTTACAACAACTTCCAATACACTGACACCATGGCTCCTCTGTGTCCCCTTTAATAGCGAGGGGGTTGGCTTATCCAAAAGCCCTCTTACTGGTTCTTCTAAGCCTGCTTGTCATAGGCCAAAGGCCATGCAATGCATTATGGTATTTAAAAAAAAAATTCCTGGTTAAAACTTCTCATAAATTCACAAGTACTAGGGGCTTTGAACCCGTGGCATTTGGCTTAAGCTTGAACCCCATCCCTATTCAGGATTTATATGACCCTAACCATGGATGAATGACTATTTACTGCATCTACATCCCTAGGGCTCCTTACAGGTGATGTTGGGCATCATTCAACCTAGAAGAATGTGGGCATCTAGGGACACTGACAAAGAGGAGGTGAGCATTTTGAGAGCTTTTTTTTTTTAAATACCTACTGGGGAACTTAAAGTGGAAGTCCAGGATCAATTTAACTAAGCTGAAACCTGCCCAATGCTTCTAAATCCAATTCTAACCACCCTGTAAAGGGGCAAATGCTTACACTTACCGATTTTGAGCATGCTGTGGTCTGGTCACATGAGTGGCTCCCAGAGACAGCTTCAAGGAAGAGGAGGGACAGCTGACAACAGGTGCCCCACACAGGCATTGCAGCTGGTGACAACGATCTCCCTGGACACCGGCCGCTGGAGAAATCACG